AGGAGGGGTTCTTATATATGTAAAATCTCATTTACAATTACAAGAACTATACTTTAGAAAAAAATGATTGGTGTCTAATTATAAAAATAAAATACAATAATAATGTAAAAGTGTTAATTGGTGCCTTTTACCATACACCTAATGCAAGTCACACAATATTTATTGATCATTTTAAAAATATATGCGAAGATCTTCCTCAATCAAAATCAAAATTTATATTAGCTGGAGATTTTAATATTAACTTTGAAAGTAATGAAGTTCAATTGACACGCATCAAAAATCTATTGAATATGTTTGGAATAAATCAAAGTATTGAAGAATGTACTAGAATTACTTATACTAGTGCAAGCTTAATTGATTATGTCAACAGTAACTTTGAACTTCAAACAGTAGTTCAGAATATACCCAAAATAACTGATCATTCCTTAGTCTCCGTTAACCTATTAAATAGAATATCCAACTCACCAAAAACCCTAAAGAGTTATCGTAATTTGGGAAACGAAAACATGAATAAAATTTGTTTACTGAGTAATGTGTGGCCTCAATAAGGTCGCCGACGGCCGACTTGATCGACAGTCCACGGCCTGAAGGCGGCCTGTAAATGAATGGGTGCCTTTAAACATGTTTTAAATAATAAAATCCCATTTTCAACAGAACAAACAAAGATTGCCCTGAATCCTAACAATGATAAAGGCTATTTAATTCCTAAAACCTACCATACTCTTCCATGGGGACATTACTCAATTCAAAATGTATGAATATTGATTGACATTCGATGTTCAAGTGAAAATCATATATCACATTGAAAATTTCTGTTAACATATTATCTTGTTGCTGAGATACAGGTGAATTTTTGTGAATCGAAACAGAACTGTTAGAAAAATGAACCCTACTATCATTTTATTTCAAATTAAATCACATATCTATTTTCTTTCGAGAGAGGTTTTATATAGGGCTATTTGCGATGTTTTTCCTCTACAATCTCGAAAACAAACGCTCCGGCAGCTCTACCTCCAGGGTGGTGTGGAAACGAGCAAAAGAAAACTGTTTAACGATGTACTCCCAACCTGATGATATCAACCCTCGTCCTCATTTTTATGTTCCTGGAAATATTAAATTTAACTCTTGCATCATATATTTTGTAAACACCAGACAACAATAAAAAAATATTTCTATATTGTGTAAAATTATATCTTTTCGGTTGACATTTTGTGAGACGTTGTTTTAAATCATTAGTTAACTGGAATGTTTTTATTGATCCTCAAAATATTATCTTTAATAAAAACACACTTTTTCTATGACATCCGTTATCTTGTAGAATCACTACATAACAAAGAGGAAAGATCAATGTTGACTTCACGAAGACAAATTGACATAACCATTAAATTATGTTGTATAAAAGCTGTTCGAAAAAAATTTATAACTGAAACTGGTTTTGATCTACTTCAATTTTAGATCAACTCAAAAATATATGTTAACATCTTTTGAATACATTTTGTTGATATAAATTGACGAAATCAGACATGAAAATTTAGTTTTGACCAAATAGCAGTATATTCCTTAGCAAATCACTTCAATAATTATGAATCTCGGTATTATCGAAAAAGCCAAGTCAAACAAACATGTTATTATCAGCAAACCCTTTTCAATATTATCCCTTATTGAGATCATCATATTTCATAATTACCAATCAACCACATCTATCCTTCCAATATCCTACAAAACTGTCTTCAATTTAATCAAAAGTCAAATATGGAGATTGCGATCATACTGTTCGAATGAAACAAACATATTACAATTGTCCTGTATCAATTGTTTTGGTATTCGTCTGTATGTTTGATCTCAATACCACAGAATACTGATTGTAAACAATAGAAAAGTAACACACGCTTTCCCGCCAAAATGTTAATATTAGGGAAACATCCGACACTGATGAGTGTAATTATATTCTCAGGTACCTAGAGATGGTAGCACTGAAAGACTAATTATCTGGGTAAATATATTTTATCAACTCGATTCGTCAGAATCATCTTTAGGAATGTGCTACAAATTAACAGATGCTCATATTTATGAATCAAAGATGAATAAAATGAAAGTTGAAACCTGTACTCAAGTTTTCAGCTACAGTGTCGGATCTTTAATGAAAATAATTGCACATTGGGGTAAGATATATTTGTTATTTTTATTTGTAATTGTGCTTATTTAATAAATACTGATTGATCATTGCATTTTATAATTACAACCTTAATCATTTTCATAAGGAGTACTCAAAGGTGATAACATTTTGTTGTAAAGTTATTTCTTTTCTTATCCAAATGAGGCACATATTGTGTTTTTTGTGATCAACTGTTAGTTTATTTGGCTTTCGAAGTTATTTATGTAGCAATAATGTCAATAAATCCTCCTATTTTTAGTAGATTTTACTTTTTTTCTNAGTCATATACCATCTACCTGTTTGCTTGAAAAATGTTCCTGAACCTTGAGAATTGAAAACATATTCAACAAATGATGATGATGATGTATAGTTCCTTCTCGAGACCTTCCTTTGTATTACAGAGCTTGAAAGCACGATCTAATAGAGTATTGATGATTCATCTTTAAGACGATTGATGGTGGTTGGATTCGTGGTTCAGATACTGTCCCGTGTGAGGATTTTCGCTATACAGATGTTTCCCACTTAGTGCCGGTCCTCTTCACCAATACGTTTAAGAATGGCAATTCGTTGTGGACTTCCTTCTTCATATTTCCTGGTTATCTACTATATTTTTCTCGCAGTTCTCGGCCGTGCAAAAAACTACGTATGTGCGTTAAGAAGTATTTCAGTATGACTCAAATATTTCTTTTCATAAGATCCAGTGCAATATTTTATTATAGATACAAAATATGAGCATTGAACATCTGCTTTTCTGAAAAAATTCAATAAACCTTGCAATTTAAAGACAGATTCAACAAATATTTCAGTATGAGGCACATATTTCATTTTATAAGATCCAGTGCAATATTTCATGACAGATATAAAATATAAGCATTGAACACTTCACATATGCTTTCATTAGAAAATTCAATGAATGTTGCGATTTGATGACCAATTCAACAAATGATATATCAGTATGACAAAAATATTCCTTTTCATAAGATCCAGTGCAATATTTCATAATCGATATATAATAAAAAAATCAATAAATCTTGCAATTTGAAGACACATTCAACGAATCAGATTTCAGTAAGACCTACATATTTCATTTTATAAGATCCGGTGTTATATTTCATAACAGATAGAAAATATGAGCATTGAACACTTCACATCTGCTTTCCTAACTAAGAAAATTCAATGAACCTTGCAATTTGAAGACAGATTCAACAAATAATATTTCAGTATGAAGCACATGTTTCATTTTATATATCCAATGCTATATTTCATAACATATATAAAATATAAACATGAAACACTTCACATCTGCTTTCCTGAGAAAATTTAAACCTTGCAATCTGAAAACAGATTCAACAAATAATATTTCAGTATGAGGCACATATTTCATTTTATAAAATCCAGTGCTATATTTCATAACAGATATAAAATATAAGCATTGAACACTTCACATCTGCTTTCCTGAGAAAATTCAATAAACCTTGCAATTTAAAGACAGATTCAACAAATAATATTTCGGTATGAGGCACATACTCCTTGTGATGAGACCTAGTTGTTATGTTTCGTAACTGATATAATGAAGAAGCAATCTTCACACCTGTTTTCTTGAAAAATATTCCTGGACCTTGCGATTTGAAAACATATTCAACAAATGATATTTTAATATGATAAAAATATTTCTTTTCATAAGATCCAGTGCAATATTTTATAACAGATATAAAATATAAGCATTGAACATTTCACATCTCGTCGCCTTAATTAGCAAAGCTCCTAACTCCCTATTATACCCGAAATAATATTATGTTGCCATCTGTTAGTGCGAAACCCAAGTAACCGCCTTTCCTAAAACGGTTTTCTACAATCTTTCAACTCAGTCACAATTTCCATTTTAGAAAATTGTGTAACTCCACAAACATAAAATGAGGTAGGCATGTCTTGTAACTCCGTCCCAAGTGGCCATTTCAAGCGTGTTTGTTGTACCTAACGCTAGTTGTGCACACACCGATTTTGGACGGCCGACTTTGTACCCGTCGTCCAAATTCCAATAGTGAACCACTTGTGGGAACGGGACCTGGCACACACGCCGACCGGTGATCGTCGCCGGTAAAATACCGGTGAGTAGCCGTCCACTGCCACTGTATCGCCGGCAGTACCGGGAAGTAGTGGCGTACATGACTAAATACACTCTTGCATACTCACCGGTTTTTTACCGACCATTCCAGTCTCGAATGCTCGGTGAAATTGTAGTTACTACGCATTAACTTCGTTTTGATAGTGCGTGCTAATTACGACAACAAAGCAACTGATTGTTTGACCGATACAAATCCGGTGAGTGTGCAAGCACCCGCTACCAATAGAATATCGGCCGATTTTGGACGGCCGACTTTGTACCGGTCGTCCAAATTCCAATAGTGAACCACATGTGGGAACGGGACCTGGCACACACGCCGACCGGTGATCGTCGACGGTAAAATACCGGTGAGCAGCCGTCCACTGCCACCCACAATTCAGTTCGACTCGAGACGCCGAAGTGTAAGCATTGAAGCGAAAGCCGAAGTGTTACCTAAAGTGCTACGTTAGAATTTTAAAATCAGTGCGATTATAAAACGTTTACAGTGTTGCGTTAACCTAAACACTGTGAAGCTAGTTCTTTTCAGAACTGTGTGTGCGAAAGCACACGATTAAAGCGAAAGCGATTAAGCTCTCTTTTCTTTTTTCTTTTACAGACTTTTAGGACCCAGCCCATTGAAAAATGGAGCACGGGAAACTAGAGGAAACCTAGCAAGAAATTAGAGAGGAGAATAAGCAGCTATGGGCAATTAACAAGAAATATGAGGAAGACATCACCGCAATGAAGGAGATTATCCTTAGCATGAAAGGAAGAATAGATGAACTCCTAAAGGACAAGGAGGAACTACAGAAGAAAACGAAGGAAAACAAACCGGACCAGAAAAAAGATACACCCGAAAAGGAGAAAGAGAAAAACAAAAAAGAGAAGAAGGAAGCCCAAAAGGACAAGGACAACGAGGACAAAAATAAGGCCAATAAAATCCTGACAACAGCCCCCGAGACGGACAAGGAGAAAAACGAAGACAACAAAACTACCAAGAGGACAAGAGCCCAAGTAGTAACAACCGAGACAGAAACGGACGACGAAGGTTTCCAAAAAGTGGAAACCAAAAAAAGCCGAAAAACCAAGAAGAGAACGACAAATGATTTAGAAGAAATCAGAATGGACGCGGAAACAACGTCCATGGACATGGAAACGACGTCCATAACTGGCGTACCAGTCGTACCAACCAGAGAACGTAAAACTCCGGAGGTCCCAGTCTGGCCAACCCCCAGGCCAACCGAGGACAGGCCAAACGAACAAGGCGTATCAGCAAGCGCGGATACGAATCCGAGACAGACAAACCCCATGTCACCACCACCGATAGTTGTCCACGACAGCAAACGATGGAACGAGATTTCCAAAGGCCTTGAAGCCCAAAAAATCGGGTACAACAAGGCAAAGCTCACCAGGGATGGAATATACATCCATACGAATAACGAGGAAGAGTGGCGCAAAGCCACAAGATACATGGAGGAATTCCGCCTGGAATTCCACACCTTCACCTTGAAAAAAGAAATCCCACTCCACGCAGTAATCCGGGGGATACCGGAGAACGTGGAGGAAGCGGACGTCGCGGCAGAATATTTAACAACGATTATATATAAGAGAGTGTTTGACAAGATTTAAGGCTGGAAAAGGCAATCTAATATTTTCTGCCTGTCAAGTACTATAATTCGTTTGGATGGATTCGAAGCGTTTTCTTATCACACATGCAGTTTCGAATTTGAATAATTCTATTACTGTCAGTATTTTATGCTTAATAAATAATAATCAACAAGAATCTCGATAATAACCCATCTTGCTGTTGGATACGACAAGTTCATTGGATACGACACTAACTGCATAACATCCAGATGCTAGTTTGCTTTTGAGGGCCTCAATATAATATGGTTTTCAGCCTGCTATCAATGTGTTACCCCAGTAATTTTGTATGACGTTTGTTCTCAATGGACTCTTTTCTGTATCAATTCAAAAAATTTCAAAATACTTGGAAAACCACTTGTTTGTTTAGGTTTTCCATAAGAAGTTTAGTATTATTCTAATTCAAGGCATGTACACCATCGTATCTTAAAATATATTAATTGTTCATCATGGTATGCAGGTTATGATGCCTGACGTTTCGTGTTTAACTGCGGTAGAAATTATTAAAGGCGATAAGGCAAAGAATGAAGTGTTCTAGTTGTTAAAGCACAGAATACCGTGTGTGCTCTGAGGACAAGTGTAACACTTCGACCACAACCCCATTGCTTTTGATATCTATCGAAGTGGTACAAGGTCTGTTAAAAAAATAAGGTGATTATTCAAATTTCGACAGCTATTTTCTTTGGATTAGCGATTATTTTACGTTGGTACACTCGTCTCGAACATATGTTCACAATTTCAGCTGTTTAGCATGCTTACTTTGTTGGTTAGAGGCATAAAATGGTGTGAGTCATCAGGAATATAGCTAAAAGTATTGTTATTTTGTCTGGTTGACTCTAGAATTTGGAATGGTAACTCCTTGTTGTTTTCAATTTCATATGTAAACTCAATAAATGGGGTTTTTATTTGAG